ATGAACACACAGGACCATACTTTACCACACAAATACTGTGTTCAGAGTAATATTCTGCCTTAGGAGAAAACACATCTACAGCACAGTTTGTTGTGTTAGAGCAGAGTTGCTTATAAGCTTGAAAGGGAAGGCACAATTGGGGAAGCAGTTGGCATGATAGATGCACCTGGCAAGGGGGAGAGAAATGTAGGGAGCAGTGGATACTGAAAAGTGAGGAAATGCAGCCTAGAGGGGAGAGGTATTGAAATTACAGAGAAATCAAAACATAGAGAAGAGGAGCAAGAGGAGTTTGATACAACTGGAGACCCAGGGAAGTGATTTATTTGTCAAAGGAGCTAACACTTTATGTTTTGATGGGAGAACTGAATTGTTAAATGTAGTGAGACTTGTGGGTCTAAGACCAGTGATGTTGACTGTGCATTAATTGCTATTTTCTCCTCTCCTGTTGTAGAATGAAGAGGAAGTTTTATTCCTGGGAGGAATGCATGAACCTTCGAGAGGTTAAGGTACTTGTTTCATTCAGTAGTTGACTTTTTAATAGATGTATATACCTGTGACATTTTGGAGCAACATTACATTTTTTCCACTTCTTTTATCAACTCTCCCCAACATGAGCTGTGACTCATGACATTACAGATCTGTTTCCTGACTCTGCTTTTGTAGGAAGTGTCTTTAGCCTTATAAAATGCTCATTAAAAGTCTGTAGTCTTACAAATAGCCATTTGGTTGTAGAAAGCTGCTTCCTCCTTGCAGTGAGTAGTGTGTTAGTGACATCTTTCCTATCACAACACCTGGAGTTGATTGGTGTTTGTTTTTCAGAGCTTCAATGCTTTGCACAGCATTAACTTTTGTCCATGCAGTTGTTTCTCTATAGTTGGCTTGGGGGCAGACCCTAAGCATGAAATTCTGACACCAGCAAAACTTTAGGGGTATTTTCTAAGCACCTCCTTAATTTATAGTCCACCACTGCAAACCTAGAAAACCTAGGTCACTTCTCTTACAGTGCCATGTATTGATACTGTGCTGTTGCAGCAAAAAATGAATGTTGAATATGCTGAAAATCTAAAAAGGAGGGAGAATAAAGACCAAAGTATGATAGTTTTGGCTGGGGTAGAGTTCATTTTCTTCATAGCAGCTTGTATGGGTCTGTATTTTGGATTCATGACCAAAACAGTCTTGACAGCACAGATATGTTGTAGTTATTGCTGAGCACTGCTGGCACAACCTTAGGCCTTCTCTGCTTTTTGTGCTTCCCTGTGAGTGAGGAGGTTGAAGGAGAGGAAAAGGCTGGGAGAGGACACAGCCAGGACAGCTGACCCCAGCTGACCCAAGGAACATGCCATGCAATGTTGTGCTCAGCTGGAGGGAGGAGGAGGAGGAGGAATGAGGGTTTGCTTTCCCAAGGAACTGTTAGATGTGCTGAAGCTTAGGCCTTCTCTGCTTTTTGTGCTTCCCTGTGAGTGAGGAGGTTGAAGGAGAGGAAAAGGCTGGGAGAGGACACAGCCAGGACAGCTGACCCCAGCTGACCCAAGGAACATGCCATGCAATGTTGTGCTCAGCTGGAGGGAGGAGGAGGAGGAGGAATGAGGGTTTGCTTTCCCAAGGAACTGTTAGATGTGCTGAAGCTCCTGGGGATGGCACCTCCTGCCATTTATAGTCCACCACTGCAAACCTAGAAAACCTAGGTCACTTCTCTTACAGTGCCATGTATTGATACTGTGCTGTTGCAGCAAAAAATGAATGTTGAATATGCTGAAAATCTAAAAAGGAGGGAGAATAAAGACCAAAGTATGCTAGTTTTGGCTGGGGTAGAGTTCATTTTCTTCATAGCAGCTTGTATGGGTCTGTATTTTGGATTCATGACCAAAACAGTCTTGACAGCACAGATATGTTGTAGTTACTGCTGAGCACTGCTGGCACAACTTTAGGCCTTCTCTGCTTTTTGTGCTTCCCTGTGAGTGAGGAGGTTGAAGGAGAGGAAAAGGCTGGGAGAGGACACAGCCAGGACAGCTGACCCCAGCTGACCCAAGGAACATGCCATGCAATGTTGTGCTCAGCTGGAGGGAGGAGGAGGAGGAGGAATGAGGGTTTGCTTTCCCAAGGAACTGTTAGATGTGCTGAAGCTCCTGGGGATGGCTGAACACCTCCTGCCCTGGGAAGGAGGGAATTAACTCCATGAGTTCCTTAGCTTGTATGTACAACTCTTGATTTTCCTATTCAACTGCCTTTATCTCAACCCATGAGTTGTCTCACCTTCTGCCCTTCCAATTACCTTCACCCATCCCACTGGAGAGGATAAGCCAAGCTCAGCTGTGCACCAGGGTTAATCCACAATACCAAGGAAGAATTTCCAGGGTTGTATTTAGCCCTGACTGCCAATGCAGGTGCAAGGAGAGTGTGAATTCTGCTAGTAGGAAGTTTCTAACAGAAAATGCAGTTGTTTTGGGGTGTGCAGTGATGCCACACAGCTGGTTTTGGAATGGCATCCATAACCTGTATGTGTATCTGGTAATACTTGGAAATCTGGTCTTTGTTCTCAGAGCTGTCTGACTGCATAAAATATTGAAGAGTTTTTGAAGTTGATTCTTCTGCATCAGTGAAACGAGTTGTTTGTTTTTTTCTTTTGCATTAGAGTAAGAGCCTTGTAAAATCCTCTTTGTGTTTTCTGTTTCTAGTCCTTGAAGAAATTAAACCATGCCAATATAGTAAAGCTGAAAGAAGTTATAAGGGAAAATGATCATCTGTATTTTGTGTTTGAATACATGAAGGAAAACCTATATCAGTTAATGAAAGAAAGGTATGTAACAGCATCACCCATTCCTGATATAATTACTCCTGTAATGTGCTTTTAACATCCAAGTTGGAGGAGACCTCTAAGATCATCGAGTCCAACCATTAACCTGTTACTGCTGCAACCCCTAAACCCTAACCCAGATCCTCCAGTGCCACATCAGACACCTCTGAAACACCTCCAGGGATGGTGACTGCACCACCTCCCTGGGCAATATCCCAGTGCTGAACACCACAACAGGGAAAACATTTTTCCTAACATCTAATCTTAATCTGCCCTGGCTCAGCTTATGTCTGTTCCCTCCTATGATTGTAGGAAAGAAGTAGCACATCAGCTATTAGACAATCACAAGGGAAAGTCAAATAAGTGTCTTGTATATGGTCTAGAAGGGAGGCCAGAAAAAAACTGTGCATGAAAAGCACTGAGTTCACATGAGCCCCTGCTGTCCTGAGGACTGTGCCTGCCTCATGAGCTGTACATGTCATGAAGCAAAATCCAAGCACAAGGCTGGAGAGCAGCCTGGAGGAGGAAACGTGTGGGTGTTGATGGATGAGACCTCAGCATGACCCAGCAATGTATGATTGCAGCCCAGAAAGGCAATCACAGTGTTCTCTGTCCCACAGAGCCTCAACATGATGTCACATAGTCTTAGCATAATGTAATCTGGCAGTTCTGCAAGTGCTGTGAAGGAAGAAACTACAGGAGAGTGCTTGAAGTGTATCTAGCAGTTTTATTGTCATAGTTACCTTTCAGTTTTGGGTCGTAGCATAAGCTAATATATGAACTTCATCATTAACATCCTTTCCCTTTTATTCCACAGAAACAAACTGTTCCCTGAGTCCACAGTCAGGAATATTATGTATCAGATCCTACAAGGGCTTGCATTTGTCCATAAGCATGGTAGGTTCTATTTTAGCTGTAAACATTTTGAATTAGAGCCAGAGAAGTGTTTGAATAAGTTTTTTAATGATCACACTAACAATTACATTGCTAACTTCACTGAAAGGAATGATCAGAAGAATGGCACTGTATGAGACATTCAGATTACTGAAAATATCTGTATTTTATAGCTTCCTGATGCTTTACCCTGGAGGTTTGCTCAGTTCCTTCTCTGTAGATTTCTGCTTTCTCAGACTGGCAGCTGAGCACTCTCAGACTTGGCTGACATTAATGGACACATCTCTTGGTAGATTTAGATGTCCCCTGAGATGGGGAATAAATGAGAAAACACTCTTTTCTCAAGGTACACACAGATACCTGAGTAAAACACACATTCTCTGTAAAATCTGCCTGCTGCATACACTGCAGTGTCTGTTGCTGGGCTGTCAGAAGAGAACTAACTTCAGTGGCCAAAGCCCTGGAAGCACAAGGCTTGTAGGAGCAGCATCTCAGTTGGCTTGAAGGACACATTGAACTGTGTTTCACAAAATATCTGCAAGCTAATGGGTTTATTCACTCTTTTTATGGGGCTTTTAAGATGTGTACATTAAAGAAGTGTGGCTTGAAAGGGAACTATCTGACTGAATGCTCTGAGTTTGTATAAGATAGTCAGCTGGTGTAGATTGTTCTTCACAGTCTGACTGAACAACCACTGTACTGAGCAGTTCTGCTGATCACATAAGACTTTGACCTCTGTGTGTGTGGTGCTATTCCAGAACTAAAGTGAAACAATCCAGGTGGAAAACACAGCATTAAGCTGTGGATGACTTTGCCATTCACATCAGTATTTCATTTGATTTTTAGGGTTCTTTCACAGAGACTTGAAACCTGAAAACCTGCTTTGCATGGGGCCAGAACTTGTGAAAATAGCAGACTTTGGCTTAGCCCGAGAAATCCGATCTAGGCCTCCTTACACTGATTATGTATCCACAAGATGGTAAGTGCTAGTATTCACCTGCTGTGTGTGAGCTCACAATCCACCCTTTAAAAAGTACAGTATTGAATTTGTGCTGAATGGAAAACCACTTTTGATGCCTCCTCTTTGTGAAACTTTTATTTAAGCTTGGCGTAATTCAAAAAGCTTCAGTTAGTGAAGAACAGTTTACAGGTGGAGCAGCACAGGAACAAAGAGGGAGCACAGGAACAAAGAGGGAGCCTGATAAGGCAGATGAGACAGGCTGGGATTGCTGCATGTCAGGAAGGCATAAGAGAGCTTACAGGAGCTTATGGAGGTTTTACTTCTAGAAAAATTGGCTCGTGGAAAGCAAAGAGGTGATTGGTAAGAGCCAACATGGCTTTACCAGGGCAAATCATGCCTGATGAATTTGGTGGCTTTCTGTGTTGGGGCCACAGCATTTGTGGATAGGGGCAGTGCAACTGATATCATCTGCATGGTAAAATGTAAGGCATTTGACACCATCCCTCATGACATCCTTGTCTCTAAATTGGAGAGCCATGGGTTTGATGGGTGGATGACTGGGTGGGTGAAGAACTGGCTGGATGGTCACATGCCAAGAGTTGTGATCAGCGGCTCATTGTCCACGTGGAGGCCAGTGAGGAGTGGTGTCCCTCAGGGGTCAGTGC